ATTTTGTTATGGCTACATCGCATCTCACTCCTACAATCCCCACAATAGAAAATGCATAGTAGAATAATAGAAAGTGTGGCAGGCCAAAGACTCAAAAGAAAAGATGGCTGCAGGCCTGACACCTAAGCAGGGTTGAGTCTAGTTAACATTTGGATGGGAGACCACAAGAAAACCAGCTTATTAAAGCAAGCATGGTGTCAATTCTGAAGCTAGCCTGATTGAGGCCATTTTGGAGGTTTCAGTGCTGCAACGCTGGTGCTGAGGGATGGGGGGGGGGGACTAGAGATAGCTGGGGTTTTGTAGCCAAAACAAAAAGCTTTCCCCTGTGGACCAAGGACATTCCCACAGGTGGTTGAAGAGAGGAGGAGTGAAGTTCCCAAGCAACCAGAAGCACCTTCATTGGACCATGTGACTGATTTTTTGGGAAAGGAGGAAAACTTTTAATTAGTTAAAAACCGTGGGAACCTTTAGAGTCGGTTTTCACTAGCCAGTGCCAATGTGATATATCCAATAAACCTGTTCTTTGAGGAAACTGCTTGCCTCAGAGTTCTGCTTGTTATGAGTGTATTACATAGAACCCTGACATATGGTATCAGTGTGACTCATTAAGTCAACTCCACGGAAGCCTAAAAGAGATGTGGTTGCTTTAATGAGAGATCAGTCGATTGTGTGCCTGAGCACCCCAAAGTATTTCATCCAGCGCATGTTTTTGACATATTTAGGGTGTTGTTAATACTCACCAATAATAGTTCCCACAACTGGTACCAACATGAACCACAAGGCCTTATCTTTCCGCCTTTCTTGTTCTCTCATTTCTTCCATTGCGCGTTCTCTATCCCTTTTTGCTTTTTCCTTCATTGCTTTTTGGTGTTTATAGTCTTCTCTTTGCAACTCACCCCGTTTTTGCAAATCCTTCTGAAGGTTCTGGAAATTGACAAGCTCGCTCTCTTTGGCTTTCTGTTCATCCACGAGTTTTTTCTTTGAGACCATAATCTCAGAAGTCATTGAATCCACATTCTCCAGGTCCCACAGGATCAATTCTTCTGTCCTGCCCAACTCCTCTGTAGCCTTCTCAATGTGCTCCTTTAGATCTATGTAAAAGTCAACATCTTCCTTTGCTTGGTACAGACAATTGACCACAGAGGTTAACTCACATATTCCTTGGTTGAAATGGTGTCTGACTTCTTTTTCAAATGTCTTGTCGTGGGCACATCTTTGTACAAGGGCCATATTTTCACTGAATCACAGCAGAGCCTGGTTTGCAGAGGGGGAAAAAAAACACGAGGCAGATTTCAAAGAGAAGGTGGGATCTGATTCATGATATAACTAATGGTGTGCCTTAGGCTCCAAAAGACAGAAGATCGGTAAAGATTTGCCCTGTCCAGTCAAGTCTGACTCTAGGAAATGGTGCTCATCCCCATTTCCTAGCCAAGGGATCCAGCTTTGTCCAAAAACACTTCCGTAGTCAGGTGGCCAGACTGACTATACACTGACGCATACAGAATAGCAATAACAATAGCACTTAGACTTATATACCACTTCACAGTGCTTTACAGCCCTCTCTAAATGGTTTACAGAGTCAGCATATTTGCCCCCAACTAACTGGGTCCTCATTTTACCAATCTTGGAAGGCTGAGTCAACTTTGAGCCTGGTGGGATTTGAACTGCCAAATTGCAGGCAGCCGGCAGTCAGCAAAAGTAGCCTGAAGTACTGCACTCTAACCACTGTGCCCCCAAGGCCCATTCTGTTATCTTCCCACTGAAGTGGTATCTATTTATCTACTTGCATTTACATTTAGACATTTTTTAGACATTTTATTANAGAACGGCCAAAAAACAGGCCATTTTCTGGGCCATTCTTCAAGGAAATTTCAGGCCTTTTTCGAGCTAAAAAACAGCTGGAAAATGGCCTGGAAAACAGATTAAAAATGGCCACATGGACGCCGTAAACCAGAAGAACAGCTGGTGATGGCGTGCATGCCCTCATTCACCATCACGGGTATAGGCCATGTTGTCAACATTCAAGTAATGCACCCACTAAAAGCAAAACTCCAAGGCAGATTGATTCCTCAGAGAACAATTTTATTGGAAACATCATATTAGCACAAACTGGTGAAAACTATGAACCCCAAGGAAAACTGCACCCCCATTCCCCATCCTGGTATGTACCCAAGGGCTCCTTCCTTCTAGGAAGGAAGAGGGCTGACCCATCGACAGCAACACCCTCCAGCCAGCTATGCCTTGTCAGCAGACTTCCAAGTTGCTCTCCAGCTCCATTGAGATATTTCAAACTTTAGCCTTGGTTCAAAAATAGCCAATCGCCATTTGTCCGTTGGGCATTGTCACCAGCCAATTAGGTGCAGAGATCAGATTGTGGTGGAAAAGAGGGTGGAAATATGACATCGCGGCCTTGCACCACACAAGCTCTGGGTTTCTGGGAAGTGTAGTCAGAAGGCGCAGTGGTGCTGAAGCAGCCCCGATTTCCCCAAATTTCAATAATGAATCCCAAATTTTCGACGCATTCTTTAAGTTAGCCGTTTTGAGTTATGTTGATTCAAAAACTGTAGCCCTCTAATGTGTAACTTCCCCCAATTGAAGGTCACAAGCAGGCAAACTGTGAGAGTTTAGGAGTTTATAGGTTAATTACAACTATTTTTTTCCTTTACTGTAGGGGTGTCAAACAACACGCGACGTATCACGACTTTTCCCCCCTTCGCTAAACCAGGGGTTGGTGTGGCCAACGCATGACGCATCCGGCCCGCAGGCTGCAAGTTTGACATCCCTACTTTACTGGATTAATAGCCCACCATTGTGTTTTTATAAAGAGAAAGCAATTGATAATATTTAAAATAAAAATAGTTTAAAGCAAAAAATATAAGTCGCATAATTACAGGTAGTCTTTGACTTACGACAGTTCGCTTAGTGACCAAAGTTACTACAGCACAGAAAAAGTGACTTATGACCATTTTTCACACTTATGACCATTGCAACATCCCCAGGGTCATGTGATTTACATTTGCATGTTTGATAACTGACTCATATTTATGACGGTTGCAGTCTTGGGGTCATGTGATCACCTTTTGCGAACTTCTGACAAGCAAAGTCAATGGGGAAACCAGATTCATTTAACAACCATGT